ACCAATATTTTCATTCCCATTTTTCAGACTTAGGACTGGCAGTATAATTGTTTTAGTATGTGTATAGTTAAAAATATTGGTTTTGCTGTTTTTTGTTTATAATTAAAAATTTATGATTAAAAAAAATTGTAATTAAAAAACTGATAAAAATTTATAAGATGATGATTTCCGCACAAAATCTAATTGATTAATTTTTTTTGCTTGCAATTCATACATTTTTTCCTGTATAAATGTTTCTTTTTCTGTCACTTTTTTGCTCTTTGTTCCCTGACTTCTTAAGCTGATATACGTATCACATTGCATGTATTTTAAAATTTCAACGAAAATAAATATATTTGGGCTGAATTTAATGTACTGTTTAATTTTTATGAAATGATTCACAATTATTTATTGTACACGTTGTTAAGGATATAAATTCGGCCCATATCTGTGGTGGAAACTCTGCGTCATTGGTTAAATAGGTTTCAAATATGTAGTCAGTATTATCCTATTACCTTGCGGTTGCAATGCCTTTATATCGTACACAAAACAATCCGAAATCGGAATATCCAGTGCCGCAATTTACGTATGTCATAAAAATACACAGGCCGCAATTTATACGCATGTTTTAAAAGTACATGAACCGCTATTTACATAATATATGACTATGACCTTTTTTGGGGGATGCAATTTACAGACTCTATAAAAAATAAGCATTACCTAATTCACTAAACATAATATTACCCATAATTATGCAGATTGTAGATAGATAATAAATTGTAAAATTAGGTACCCATTTATTTCAATATTAAACTTCAAACAAGTAAACGAGATAAGATAACACTATTATATTCGAAATATAAGTACCTACTCAGTTGATACGTTTTAAATTACGTATAACTGTATAAGCACTATAGTATATAAAGATATAACCCATGTCAATATTACATCTAAATATCTAATAGCATTAATAAAAAAATACTTTTATGAGAATTAATTTGAGCAACAAGTATAATTTTTAAGTACTTGACTGTAGTATTAGTAGTTTTATTCCATTGGTAAAAATTAAAACTAAATACTAAAATTATTAACTAAAAATTTAATTATACAATATACGTCTAACGTTAAACCATTTAAGTAAAAATAAGCGTTGGAATAGAATAAATTTAACTACATGTTATCATAGGATAGATTGACTCAAGTCTTTAAGGGGAATTTATTCTATCCCTTGCCTACTATGAAAAATATATTTAAAATGAAAATTATTTAAAAACATATATTTATAAAAATCCAATTTGCTATAAAGTTGATGGTACCTACTACCCATACTACACTAGTTTACAACAAAGCCGAGACTAATCGTAACCCACAAATGCAGGCGATGGGACACACTTGATCTGATAGGAATCACATTTATAGTATAGTGATGCCGTGGATTTTATGTCATAAAAATGTTAACTAAATATAGTATAAAGCATAATAATATTTTATTATGACGTTACAGAGAAATTTGTATTTAAAACATAAATAGTTACAAATAATTTCTGTAACATTATCAAATATAAATAGTTTCAAACAATTTCTGTAATATTATTATAAAATATTGTGAGACATGAATGCGTGGATTGTACGAGTACCTATAATAATAGTCCGATAAAAGTTAAATTATATAGGTACCTAGGAATTATTATAACTGACGAAAATTATAATAATATTACCAAATAAAAAAAGTTTCAAGACGATAAATAACACAATTTATTTTCATTAAACAGTGAAAAAAAATTAACATAGACAATATTATTATAATTAACGATTTTAGGAAAATCAAATAATCTAAACTAATTTTTATAATAATATGATATCATTAAAACAATTTTAAGTTAAGCGCTTGGAATATTTATTATTTTTCTTATTGCTGTAATTTTTCCTACATTTAAATATGTCTAGAATTTCCAACTTTATCTGCAGCATTGGCACAAATACAATTTGGAAGGGTATTGACGTCGATTTATTATTAGCCACGCCCTTTTTGCGCCTATATCGATAGAACTAGATGCACCTACTGACAACTGGCATGCTGCCATAATAATAAGTCATATTCTTAAACAATAAATCAATGCTTGAGTATATCATCTTTTATAAATTATTATTATGTAGAACGACATTAAAATATTTCATGGACAGTAAACTTTCATTAAAAAATAGCATGTATATTACAATGTATAACTACTAGTTGCTGATAACTATCTTAGTATCTTATCCATTATGTTATAAAATAACAACAGAATTAAACGACTAATCTCGTTTTGAAATAATATGTTTTAATAAATAAAAATTTAAACTTAATCAATAACGATTAGTTCGAAAATAAGAATCTGAAGATTACCGCTTTGCTGTACATTAGGTGTCGAGTGACTCATTGTAATAGATATGTTAAATTTGAATTCAATGATATTTTATCATTGTATGCAAAAACTGATTTACCATAAAAATTGGCATTTTTCCTTAATTTTTTCTTGGTTAATGACAGAAAGAAAAAAAACACATCATTATAATATCAATAGATTCATCTCTCCGCTTGGAATCTAAAACAAAATTCGCATACAGCTACGCCATCAAGCGGCAATCAAAAGAGGTTTTTTATGCTCTTATTGGAAAATTGAAAACAAATCATTGTTTGCCGTTTGGTTAGTTGTAAACGGAAGAGATAGATGCCGATGCCGTTGTTTTCGGATAACCGAACGGCGGCTCAGATGTTCGGTAATAAAAACAACAAAAAACAAAAATAATTATTTTAAATTTACTGTATGGACAACAATACATAATATTATACAATATACATAATTAAAATATTATTATTTAGATACACCATTAGTCATTACCCCCATTTTATATTACCTATATAAACCTATTTAACTCAATTTACACCTAAATATTTTGCGTTTAATTATAAGTATTTTACAATTTAAAAATGTACTTGAATAATTAAATACCAATAATAACTTCCAAATACAATGCCACAATAATTTACTTTAATATGTGTCTAATTAACCCGTAAAAAGCGTACAGTACAGTTAAAGATTTAAACCACAGAAAAGATAAAATTTCATCTATTCTGTGGTTAAACTATTAAAAAAAAATAATAGCTATGGGCGTAGACCGTTTGGGCGAATAAATAAATACTATTTGGGTGAGGGTTTATTCAACTGAAAATACCGTTAAGGCGGTATAAAAATACTTTTAAATTTTAATATACATTATACATTCAACAATTAATTAAACAAAATCTTATAAAATATAAATAATTAATAATAAGTCATATTTAAAAAAAAATATTGGTATAGATATTAGTAGTATTATATAGGTAGATAGTAATCTACAGTCAAAAATAATTTCACTCGCCCAAACGATATAAAATATGATAATCGCCCATAGTATCGCAGTCTTCGTTTAGCGTACACTACTAGAGCTAAATAATATTTTATTTTATTTATTTATTTCACATAATATCACATTATATTTAAATATTTTAAAGACTAAAGTAGATGATCTATCATCTATGATACAATTTAAATAGCATCAAAAAGTTAAATAGTAAATTTATTTTTTAACTATTAATCATTTTAAGTATCTTCTACTACTATAAATACATAACTAAAAACATGTATTATTTATGTAGGTAGGCACCTATATTGATAATAATTAATATAAGATACAAATTGAGAATGAAGATATTTATGCCATGTTACCAGACTATCCATAGTATACGATACTGATCGTTTAAAACGAAAAACAAATACCTGACTTTTATTTAATTTAATGAAAAAATTAAATAAGTTAAATTTTAATAGGGATTCTTTAAGTTTATCAAATGCTCATAATTTAATTTAATACAATATTTATTGTGTAAACATATTTTTAATTATATAGATAATAGATATTATCTCTATATGCAAATAAACATATAATATAGATATTTGAATTTGAATAATTTGATATTATTTTTTTTAAGTTTTAACTACTTAGTACCCATTAATTTCATACTTATAGATTTTAAACAGAGCGATGAATATATTGATATAGGTATTCAACATTTTATTAAATATTTATACTATGATTTTCTATTTACGATCAAATCTTTTTTGAGCTATTTAAAAGCATAAGAATTTTCAATTTCTTTTATAAATGGCGATTAAAAACTATTCGTTTGGTAGAAATGGTTGAAATTTTAAAAAAAAGTTCTTCAAACGTTTTTAATTTATTAACTAAAAAAATTGAAATCTACTGTCTAATCACAATATATTTTTATAAGCGTTTAATAATCAAAAATTCATAAGAATTCATGTTTTCTACTTAAGAAAATCAAAACTAGGTTCTTTATGGGGTTTTCAACCAATAAATTAAAAATAAAAAGCAAAATAAAGTTTTTATGAGCATATTAACTTCAAATTTTTACGACATTCACTATTCACCCTTAAACTAATTATTTCTTCTCAATGTTTGATATTTTGTTGTAGATATTTCAAGATTAAAAAATTACATTAGATGCTTGAAATATTTCTATAACCATACGTAGGTAATATGACTTGTATACTTCAGTTTATTATTGTGTAAGAACTATATAATAAATGACAATGATCGAAGAAGATCTCTTCCGAATTCTAAGAACTAAAAAGTCTATGATAATTATTTATCATAATATTATACATTTGCAGGTACAACATTGTATTTTAGAACTAAGAAGTAAAGAACTAATGACTAAAGAGTAAATCGTATGATTTTATTTTAATGTTTGTTAGACAATAGACACCATTCGACAATACTAGCTATAATAAATTATTGTTACCGAAATGCATATAAAAATATTTATGGGTTTTTTCAAGTTTTTCTGTTTTTGTTTATCGATATCTACTTATCGGTCGTTGATTACCTAATGACACTATACAGTGTACATAACTGTGACTCGTGTGGAGTTAGTTGTAGCGTAGGTATTATATAATATATAGGTATATGATTTATATACTATTTATAATTTTAGTTAAGAATTTTGAGTGTTTTCACTGTTTTCAGTTTTGATTGTTAAGAGTTTAAATCTATTTATTAAGAAGTATTGCGTAGACCGTAGTTAATTACTTACTAAATAATATATCGGCGTATTAATTCAATTTTGTAATATTATTTTGTTGTCTATACTTCTTACAGACCACATTCGTTTAGATAAAACTTAATTATAACTTTTGGAGCACAATAGACGACAGACAAATAATATTACTCTTAATTTATTATTATTTATATTTTTTGCGATATTATTGTACATCAAAAATAATTGTTTAAAATGCAGATTCCCGATCGAAGGTAAGTTAATAGATGTTAGGTATTGATTTAGTATTACCTAATTTAAGATTTAAACCAGTGATTTTCAACCTTATTGGACTAACGATCCACTTTAGTTATCTAATTTTTGTGACTCATAAGTACACGTTTCAGAAAAAAAAATCAATAAATAGTAATATATATATGACTTATGACTTATTAAAATTGATCAATTTAGTATTAGCATAAGTTAATTTTATCTTATTCCACCAATTAAATTAAATACTTACATTTTTACAATAGATAGGTAGTTTTTTTCACTGAGTGTTGACGACTAATTTAAACTATGTGTTGATATGAAGTTAATGATTTCAGATCTTTAATAAATTCAAGTTAATTGCACTTGATACATTTTTCCGAGTTAATTTTTTTTTCAATCTATTTGGTTACATAATATATCATTTTATGAGTAATTGTAGGTTAATTAAATACAACCAAGTTCGAAAAAATAATTAGAAAAATACAGGATGACAATAATTTTTTAAAATATTAAAATATTGTACCTGGTATTGTTTAAAAAAAATACTTCTTATGTATGCATGAAGTTACCTTAATTTATTCATAAATAAAATTAACTGCCTAAAAAAAAAACTATTGGTAGGTACCTATTTTTTCTTAAAAATGTAAGTAAATGATTCATATATTGTTGGGGTATCTATCTATTAGGTAAAACAAAAACTTAGTCTTATTGATATTTACTTGAAAAAACTGAATTCTAAAAGGTTTGGTTTCTTGCCTTAATTTATTTCTCAATTATGATTTAGGTACCTAATTAATTTAAACTCTGAGAAACTTTTCTCAACATAATGAAATTTTTTTAAGTAATTCAATAAATAAAATTATTTAAGCTCGTTAAATTTGACAATTCTAAAATTTCTGGACTAAGTACATTTACACTATCTGTTATACCTATTTAATAAATGTAATAGTTTGAAAAATGACTTCTATTAAGTTTTGAAGAATTGACTATTGATCTTGATATATAATATTTTATTAACTAAATTTAAATTTAATATTAATGATAAGCCATTCTAAATCAAAATAAATAAATGTTTTTATTGTGGTATTTTAGAAAACTATTTCAAAAACGCCATCATCGTAGGGAAGAAATTGAAGCTCAACTACGTAGAGCACAGATTGAAGATCAATATAGTACTGAAGATTCTAGTTCTGAAGATGAAGAGTCATCTGAAGGCGAGTCAGATGACGAAGAGTCATCAGATGGTGAATTAGATCAAGTAATAAATGAAGACGAACTAGAAGAAGCTGATGAATCTGAAAAGGAAGATGATGAATCAGAAAAAGAAGAAAATGGATTAGAAGAAGATGAAGTTGAATTAGAAGAAGAAGAAGACGAATTAGAAGAAGAAAATGATGAATTAGAAGAAGATTGCAATATGAGTTTAAGTGAAAATAGCTTATCTAATGGCAGTAGTAATCATAATAAATCCAATAATATATCTTTAAGTACAATAAAAATTGATGATAGGTAAAAAATTTTAAACATTAATTTTTTATGAAAAATTATTATTTTAATTTTTTTTTTTTTTTTTTTTTTTTTCAGTGAAATGTCTGTTGTCTGCGATACAACTAATGAGACACTTTGTGATAATACTCCAATTGCTAAAAATAATAATGTACTAATGAACGAAAATAATTCTGATGATGATACATTACAGTCATTGAATGACTCTAACTTTGATATGAATGATCAACAAATCCAAGTTGTTGAATGGATGATTACTAGAGAAAGTCAAAAACCATATGGTGGAATAATTGGCAAGTTTAAATTAAAAATATCTGTTTAAAGTAATTTAATTTACTTTATATTTATACAGCAACTGATGGTACCACTGATTATAAAATTACAATATTAATGAAGTTGTTATTGAAATCCAATGTTCCTAATTCATATAATACACAATCAGAAGGAGAGTCTGATTTGGATGAAACTATTTTCTCAAAAGGATGCACATTGATTTTATGCCAAAGATCAAGTATAGATGATTGGATTGATTCTATTGAAAAGAATATACAACCTGGCACATTAAATGTATGGGTACACTATGGGAGAAATAGAGATATATCACTATACGAGTAATTTATTTTGTTATTATTAAGTGCTTATATATAAATAAATTAATTGCAATAAATTTTTTGCTTTTGAAATTCTAGTTTAACTCAAAAAGATATTGTTATCACAACAACTACATTGGTTGTAGCAGGATTCCGCAAAAAAGAAAATGTAAGAATATACAATTAACTTTTTATTAAGGTCATGGTTATTTATTTTTATAATGTTTGCTTTAAAGTTTACGCAATGATTTTACTGAAATATTAACTTTTGTCAATACTTCAGAAAGGTTATTCATTGGTTTAATACAAATCAAATTTAATCAATGAATTGTGCAATATATTTTATTGTTTATTTCTAAAACTATAATTAAAACAAATTGTTACGTTTCAAAAAATAATTATTAATATTATGAATCAAAACCTGTATACAATATTGAAGACATGCAAATAAAATATTAAAGAAAATACTTTATTTTTAGAATCCATTTTATCAAATAAATTGGAAGCGAATAATATTGGACGATGTTAAGCTTTATAATTATAAACAACAAACTTCTAAGGCTTTATGTCAGTTATTAGGCATTTGTCATTGGGTTTTTTCTGCGCCAGCAATTATTAACAATGATGATGATGAAGCTATGTATAGTTTAATTAAATTTATAAATTATAAACCATTAAATATGTTTGAAGTAAGATTAAAAGTAAAATACGCTACACTAATAATAAAATAACTAATTTTTTTTTCAAATTTGATTTCAGAATTGGAAAAATTGGATTAAAACAAATCAAACTGTATCAATGTATGAAAAGTTAAAGCATATATTGTATAATGATAAGAAAATTGTTTGATTTCAAAGCACCTACAATATTTATTACTTACATGTTATTAATTATTATTTTATTCAGATTTTAGTTATGTATTTTTTTATACTAATGTTTAAAAATTAAAGAGAATTGTCGATTTTGTAATTAATTATTGATGATATATCAAAAAAGTGTTGTATAAAATATATTAAATTAATTTTACAATACAAATATAAATTTTAAAGGATGTCTCGTAAAATATTTATAATCATACATTACTATAATAATTGTATTCAATTCAACTTCTATGGCTACAAGAAGAGTTTATTTGTTGAGATCTCTGGTCTAAGTATCGGTCTAGTGTATATAAAATTTTAAAAACTTAATGTGTGTTTTTCTTTATCAAGATTTTTGTATACTTGAAAGCAAAAATTGTATTAAACTAAAACAAATTAAACATTTCAATCAATTCTATATGTAGTGTAAAAAGCTAAAATATTTTGAAAATAATATCTAGTAAATTCAAAAATGAATATTTGGTGAAAATTTCAAATCTTTTCAGTATTTATTTTTTAATTAAATAAAAATCGATTTTTCAAAAAACTGATTATCTGAGAAATGTCTGTTTTACTTTTGAATCCACGAAATGCCGAGTAAAATCAGTTTCCTACCAGAAACCTCACTTGATATTTAAAATCAAAACGTTTTATAGATGACGTTTGAAACAAGATAAATAATAATAAAAAAAAACACTGTAAAATCGACATTTATTGTTCCGCTAAAAACCTATAAAACGTATTGATAATGAAATATTTATTGGGTAATAAAAACGACATCGCCTGTAAAAATATATTATGCTAGAAACGTGGATATTCTCACCAAATCATGGTAGCGTATGGAAAATGACTATAACCGTTGATTTTAAAATCAATCCTATTGAGTATTGGCATATTGCTTGAATTTTAAAATGACGGCTGGACGAAATAAAAATAATTTAACACGTTAACGTATAGGTATGCTAATGTAATGTGTATTATTGTACTACGAATTCGACGACCTGAGTGTAGCTGTAAACGCATAATATAACGGTTATTAAATGACCGTGTGAGTTATCTACGATTTAATTTTGTGGCCTACGTTTAAGTCGCTGCGAACACCGTGTGCGATCCAACGGGTCAACGGTCAACCCACTCGGCTCGAAACCACGCGGAACCATCACATGATTTTTAACAATTTCAGTAACATCAGTAAAAGTCGAAAGATCATTTAGTCGGTATATAAAGCAGTTTTACAACTAAATCGAAGATCTTTTGAATTTGAAAATTTAAAAATACATGTTATCATTAAATTGTAATCAAGTTAATTAATATTTTTATTCTTCTAGCTTTTTTTTATTTATATTTTTAATAATTTTATTATTTAAAAAAAAAAAAATTTATTATTTAAAATATAATTTTATTTTATTAGGAGGAACTCATATGGATAAATAAATATATTATATGATTAAATATTAATAAATAAATAATATTAGTAAAATACATATTTTGAGTTTTTTAGTACATATTTATTTATATATTTTGGTTTTACAAATACATATGAATCCGAGCCCTACTAATGATAAATAAACTTACAGAAAAATATTAATAGTCTGAAAGGGTTGATATATATTTGTACATCCATAAGCAACGTATGACACTGGAATAATTTAATTTAAAATATGAACTAAATAAGTATAATAATAAATCAATTATGTTCTAAAGAAATACGAATCAAATTAATAGTAAAGTCCACACACGTATAAAACCATAATATAGCATAATATAACCATAATGCTTATTCAAAATATTTTGCCAACCATGAAATTGGCGGGAATAAATTATTCAACTTCGCACGATAACGCGAGTACCTTATCTAGTATAATAGACATCTGAGACAAAAGTAGACGTAAAATAAAAAAAAAAATAAATGTACATGTATCTAGGTAGCACAGTCGTTACTCGTTATATTAATAATATAGCGGGAAACTGGTTGGCATTTTGATATCTTGAATAATAGTTTAAAAAACGATAGTCAAATGACCCAAGCGCGCTTTGTGTACAATAACTATACTAAAAAATCAACAATAATTTTAGTCGACAAGACAGAATTTCTGTTTCAACATATTAACATAACAGAAATTAAATGTGCACCGTTTACATATAAGTATTTGACTGCAAAGATTAATAATTAATGACAATGCCTATGTTAAAATATAATGTTGAGTTTTAAATTCAATATTTTATTTAGAATGTATGAATTAAAAAAGAAGAAAATATTAAATTTAAATAGATATACATTCAAAATCTAATAAAATATTCACTTTTTTGTAAAATTGACCAAATATGCATTATGAATTCTTGATTTTTAAACTCACTATTTTTTTTTATTGTAAATCTAAAAGCTGATCCATGGTTGTTTGATCAGTTTTTGGTACCTGTCACATATTTGATGTCATCAATTAAGTTGAAGTTGTTTCGTATCTATGATTGAAATAATTTGTAATAACACTGAATATTGATTTAAATTGTAGTTGAAATACTCCCTACTCTCACTATAACATTAATTTATATTATTGTCTTATATTCTTGTTTTAATTTTTTAATACAACTTTACTTCAGATTTCCTCAATCATTTTTGTTTTATATAGGTAAAGCTATAAAAATATATTTTGATTTTCCTCTATTTGTTTTATTAATTTCTATTTTAAAAGTATTAAATAAATAGAACTATTACAAGAAACTGGAAACACACATAGGCAGATAAACTCGAAAGAACCAAATGATTCTTTTATATATTATTACAATTATTAATTTTATCATAAACTGAAATATAAAGCAGATAATAAAATTATAGATCACTAAAAATGTATAACTATAAAAATTAATTGACTATTTGTACCATTAAAATTTTTTATTCTAATTTAAAGCAGTTTAAATCTGTAATGGAAAGATTAAATAAAATGTCATTCAGTGAGAAAAGATTGCTTATTCAGAACTGGATTCAAGATTTATATTTTGTGTTATTTTAATTTTACTTATAAAGAAGATGGCATGGATAAAAGCATTGAACAGAGCACTAATGGCTCTAAATAAAACAATAATTAACTATACTTAACAACTGACTAAACCCAACTTATACTAGACATGTTTAGTATTTACTTTAAGTATCCATTTCTATTAATTCAGCATTTAATTAGTATCCTTAATAAAATATACAGAATTATATTTAATATAAATAGTATATGATATATTTTTTAACAATTTAATCTAAACATCATATTTATTTGAATATTGAGTATTATTTATGCCTTTGACAATATATGTTTTTTACGTGGTCTGCTCTTCATTGTACCCTAAAACAAACATAAAATTATAATAACAATATATTAAGTTTATTAAAAATATGCTATAATACATAATACAATTATATGAGCTGAGAAAATGTGTACTGCATAATAAGATAAATTTACCATTTGTAAACATAACCACATTTCTAAATAATTGAAAAAATTATTAAACTAACCTTAGTTGGAAATCGCATACAACTATGTTCTATTAAGCAACATTTGTTACATGATTTGCAATGTTTCCATGTTCTTTTCACACATCTTTTACATAAGTTACAGTGTATGTATTCACGGCCATTCTGTAAAATTAAATATTTAATTAGCACAGAGTTTAGAATAAGTTTACATTTTGATAGATTGTATTAAATGAATAACAAATAATTATTGTAATTATATACTTGGCTAGTCAATCTAATTTTTCCTACAGGCAATATTCATATTGTTTTATTATTTTTTATAATAGTAAACAAAAAAAAAAAAAATTTCTAAGTTACAAGAGTTTTTTCAATATCTTGTAAACAATTTGAATTGTTTATTTGTAAAGATTTAATTATAATGTATTTTTAAATTTGTGTGTATTTAATTACTAATATCTAAAAAGTAAAAATACTAAGACACATTTTTTTTTTTTTTACTATGAAAATTTGGTGAAAATATTGTGAATACTGTTTCTATAAATTTGTTTTGCATTACACATTTTATATGATTTCTCAACATTTTTGAAATTTATTTTAAGGTTATGGAAATCAATTATATATATATTAGTACAAATTATGAACATAAAGATACTTGAAACTTTTATTACTAATAAAAAATATCCCCAGAAAAGAATATTTAAATACTAATATTCTTCAAATAACTTTAAATCTAAGAAAATTACGATTTTCTTTATTACTATAGTAGTATTCAACAGTTTAAAACACATAATGAATACTTATATAAATTACAAAAATTTAACTATTTTCATATTAATAAAAGTACATTTACCTTTGATGTACAACTATTGCACTTGTAACAGTGTACATTTTCTGAGCAAACCCATCGATTACATTCATCACAAAATCTATAATTTTCCTCAACAGGTAAAGATATCTTGCACTGATCTACATTAGTAAATATTCTAATTGGTGATCCTTTATTCCTCCCTAAATATAATATAAAATAAAGGTATTTTATTATTTACAGAAAAATACAGTATAACAATATAAAAAATACAAACCAGAACTATTAAACTTTTTATGATTTATGTAGTCAATTTTATAATCTATCATTGACATCCCAGGTATGCAACTGACTACAAAACGTTCCATAAAATAAGGTAATACAAGAAACTCTGAAAATTAATATATCTATTCAAAATCAATTTAATGTTAATGAGAAAGATGAAATTTACTTACTTGATAATATGCACTTGTTGTTTTTTTTCCTAATTTGATCAAATTTTTCTAGTGTATATGCTAATGGTTCAAGTCTGCCACCAAATGGAGGGTCAATAAATACAGCTGTAGAATCTCCTTGGGTCAAAATGTCTTCCAACACAAACTCTGTGTCACATTCTTCAAGTATGTGGCAGTTATACATGTTAAACCATCTGAAATGGCCAGTGTCATAAAATTGCAACTGAAGGAAATATAAATATCAGTTTATACCATTAAGTCAAATAACTTTAATTATTATTTTACATACGTATCTATGATCAATGTCAAGTAAAACACTGCTTATCTCAGGTATGTCACATAATATTTTTTCGTGTATAGTAGGAGCACCAATACAAATAATATTAGTTGTACCAACAGAACGAAACATTTTGACTAACATTTCAATAGTGTTTTCAGTAAAAAAATACTGAGATTCACTTTTTGATTCTTGAAGTGGTCTAAACAACTAAAACATATCTATAATATAATAACTAAAACATATTTATAATATTATTAATATAATAACTAAAATAAATTTATAGTTACAATAAATTATAACAAAATTAGTACCTGTGAAGGGTGAGATAATTTTAAATCATTTATATCTTCTACTAGCATTTCATAATGGTCTGAATGTAACTCTCGTTGAGTCTTAGAAAATAATTCACCACATTTCTGACAGAAACATCTTTCTTCTGGGGTTAAATTTTTTATATCATTGAACCTGAAACAAATTTAAAACAGTTTTTTTTGAAATTGTATACATTTTAGGTATATTATTTTAGACTACTTATTAAAAATATATAAACATTAGAGTAAAATTTCATTTTCTACAATCATTTTTAAAATTTGGGATCTTCTCTAGCTTCTTAAAAACATATTGTTTTTTTTTACTGATAAATGTTTAAATTAAATAAACATGATTCCTTTTAGACATTAAATGTAACATTAAATAATTTTCATTAACCTGATATATAAAGATGGTGAACAAAAAATGTCTTGGTGATTTGAATAACCCTCAAAACCTCCAATAATTTAGACCAGAACTTCTCGACCTTTTTATTGTAGCTACTTCCCTTTTTGAATTTCAATTTTTTAGTGACCCCTACATATATATTTTTTTTATATACTCACATAGATTATTATTAATAATCAATATTATATATTAAGTACTGTACACAATACAGTGTTGTATTTATTGATTTTATTATTTGAGCTTTAAATTTCTGTATTGATTTAAAATTTAAATCATACGTTAACGACTCTAAATAATAAGTAGGCAACCTGTTTTGAAAAACACTGATCTAGACAATATTAGGTCTGAATTTTTCCAAACTGTTTTATATTGCCTATCTCAGGCAATAATTTTAAGATGTCCATTGACTTTGATAACTATATTTATTCATAAACATGATCATAACAGTTTTATATAAAATAAAGTTCTTGAGTTCAATTATCTATTATGAAATAGGTAGGTAAATAACATTAATTATTATTAACAATCTAATAAAAGTTACATTAAAAAAACATATTTGTATGAGAAAACAATGTTAAAAATAAAAAGATAAGTTAATGATTATTACCTGGATTGTAATTTATATCTCATCATTTTTGTAACAAAGAGATCTCTTTCATATTGTTCCATGTATTTTTGTCCAATTGTTTCAATTTGATTTTCCCACACAAAAAAAGAACATTTTTTTCGATCTCTATGTGCTGAGCAAGAGTAAAACTTTTTATTGTCAGATCCTCGAGAAAACAATAGTGTTGGTCCTTAAAATAAATAAATTAAAAAAATTAATAATAAATTAAGTAATTACTAATTATATAACAACAAATTGCTGCCTTAAATTTAAAAATATGATAAGCAAACAATTTTAAACTCAGTTTACAAGTATGTAATTACTTAATAAAAAGAAGATTTGATATTAGAGTTAATATAGATTATGAGCCAATGATCACGATTCATGAATATTTGGTATATGTTATTAGTATTTCAATATCAATAACATTTTTAAATTCTATATTCTATACGGTTTAAAATGGTTTTATTGAGATTACTTATTTCCTATCTTTGTAAGCCATGTAATACTTAATTTGTGTGCAAAAAAGGACACAAATAATTGTAAAATTATTGACTGACCACTAGAATACATGACAACTATGGCTCATTTACACCACAATATCAATAAATTAAAACAAACAACAAATAATTACCATGAGAGCAATGAGGATGTGTATTCAAATTGTCCATGTGAACGGACACTGTTTTAATGTACTCCTCCGTCATTTTTGTGTTGGCAATTACTGGCAGAGTAAATCACGATCAGGTTAATGCCAAACGTTGTGGTTGGTCAAACGGTATTTATTCGAAGGTATTATAAGTTAGAACACAAACGTAATCTAATAATAATATGAACACTGCAAATCCGACACAGAATACTTGATTGGTTGACTTAAAAATTGACGAACGAGTAACGGCTATACTATAGTACTAAGTACTAACTACTGCGCGCCTTAGCACTTCTAAGCCAGTACTGGTCACGGTAGAAGAGTGGCTATTGTGGTAATCGCAAGACACTACAGTGCAATCACCTTATAGAATAGACAGTGACCATGGCAGTCGATGACGCCAAAATGCCAAAATATAGTTTCATAATATGAAACGACGATATTGTAGTCCGTGAAGAATGAAGAGTGAAAACTGAAGACAGAAGAAGTGAAGAGTAACGACACCACGTGTGTAAACGATTATACTGATATGATGTTGTTCATTGTTATCATTTCAGATTTCGTTCTGTACCCCAATCAATGTTCCGTGCACACTTGTTGTTGAATGTAGATAGTACTATCTACAGTTGTGGTCTCGTTCTTACAGACAAGTGATAACGATAAAAAGAGAAATGATTAAATTACGTGAAAATGGAGGGAAATTCACTAATTCATTTTCATAAAAATCAGAAATCGTCATAACAATTATTACCGTTACTCGTTAGTAATTAGTTAATATTATATAAATAACTATAATATAGTTTAAAATTTAAGTTAAACGTATTAGCTATAGTATATATTTCTATCGAATGACTCACTACTTAGTATACTATTTTTTTAATGAGTTTTTTAATAATATAAATCAATCCGTAGTAAATGATTCGAGTGCTACTATAACCGTTTTGAATTTCAGAATTATTTCCGGTTAAGGATACAGAGACATTTAAAACAATACAAAACTTACTGCATTGATCATTGATTAATCATTTGCCGGTCTACCTGTCTGCCATCCGTTGATAATGAGTGAATCTGAATTTGTGGCGCACCATTTCCTCAGGTGCCATTCAAAAACCGACAGTGATTCAGCAGACGTTTCTACACAGGTAACAATGAGTAATAACTAATAATTAATTGTACTCTTGTGATATAACAGAGGTGGGCCGTGGGCAACTGACGGCCTACGGGCAACAAGTCTTGTTTATTTGGCCTGTGCTACAATTTTCAAATTACATCATATAATTTTAAAGTTTAAAATTCACATTATAAACAAAATAAATGCTAATTAAAATGCATATTTTGAATGACCCTTTTTTTTTTTTTGCTTTCTATGCCCTGGCCTCCTAAGTTTTTAATTTTCTAAAAATTGGCCTTCTAGTAATTTTGAGTTGTCCATTCCTGTAATATATCACAGTTCAACAATACATAAGACACAATAATTTTGTTGCATGTGATATGTTAATGTACAGTTCATTGTGGGTTATAGGTATGGTATGCAGCGTTTGAGCCATCTAGCAAGTCTCACTTGGTGGCAACCTGTGGTGGCAACAAGGTCTGTGTTATTGATGTGGAGACTGGAGTGGTCCAATATAGATATACTTATCCCAAGTAAATAATTTAATTCCATTATGGATTTCCTTTTTTCTAATAATAGTATTAGTTAAATATTAAATGTGCTAAGTACAATGTATATCAGGTGACTATACTCCGACTTAAAAGAGAACACATTAATTTATCCCTGTGCTATATCCTACCATAAAAATAGAAAGAATATGTTTCACTGTGGTATGGTGTTTCTTAGCGATATGTTGAAGAACTAATTTTTGTTGAGCCGTGGTGTGTCTTCTAAAATTACTGGTCATATCTTTAATGGATTTTGCTATAATATTGTAACATAGTGACTTTTTCCAATTAAAAATGTTGTATTACTCTTCATTATTTTTTCAATGCTTTTTATAAGCTATATGATTATATTTATTTAAAAGAAAAAATTATAAAATATTTATTTTTTGATTTTAAGTCTAATATCTTTTTCATTTGTCTAGAATCCATAACATGGAATAAATTTGAAACATTTAATCATACACATTACATATTATATAATAAAAAAAATATTTTAATCATATTATTATGTCTATAAGGAATCTAGGGAAAAAGCCACAGAAACAAAATTGACTTAATTATATATAAAAATTTATCATACTAAGTTTTAGTAATTGTATTATTAATTCTGTAATAATTAAGTCTTAATTAATTTTAAATCAAAGAATTTAAGTTGAAAATAATATACTATCTCAAAGACCAACTTCTGTACATGAGGTTTGGTATTGTTTTATGTTTATATTATTGGTGGTTTATTAAGTAGGGAAACTATTATGTGTGTTACCTGCACGCCACCAACAAAAATTGGTCCCTTCTAAACACTAATGGAGCATATAAATAATGAATGATTAATAAAATGTTACATTTTTTAATAGAATATAGATGTCCTGCATACAATTTAATATGTACACTGCATCTGCATCTATGCAAGGTATTGAAATTTTTGTTTGTGATTTCATTTAAAAATCTGAATAATTTTTAGAATAATGAGTAAAGTTGTAACTATTTTACATTTGAAAATTAATTACCCTGCAGTGTATACATAAATGTAGATATTTTGTTTATCTACAAAATATAACATTATTTTTTTTTATCCAATTTTTAGTATTTGTTAACATTTTTCTGTAGAAATTCCCTTAGAACCTTTCTTAAGTTAAGGTAAGTATTGAGTATAAACTATTAAATAAAATACTTTCAGTCTTATACATTTACTTCCATTTTCCAGCATTATAATATTTTAGTGTTGTATAACTTGTATATTTAAAATATATTTTCAATGAACATATTTTTTTTCAATTTAAAAAAAAATTGTTAGTTATGTTGGGAGGAATACATGTAATTAAAAATACTGGAATTTTTTAAATATTATTACTGTGGCTTTTTTCATATTATTATTTATGTTTTAAATTTTAATTAAGAATGAATTTTACTTTAGAATATATTTTAGTAGGATATTTTTTCAATTCTTTTATTTTTGTAGAGGACTGTTATATACATTATCATGGAGTACAGCGTGCCCTCGCAACAATATATTGGCCACTGGTGGAACAAACAATACAATTGTACTCATAGACTTGTCTGCCAATTTAGCATACCTTCACTACAGTTTACCTCAAGGGAATAGTAAAAAAATATTTATTAGCTCAATTTTATTTCATCCTTCTCAAAATGTGTTGTTTTGTAAGTATTTTCTTCTCAATTACTAATTTTTGTTGCATTATTTTTATTTATCAAACAATATGTAAATGTGTTTGTCTATTTTCAGGTGCCCTAAACAATGGATACTTATACATACTTAAATTTGAAACTCTCAATTATCGTATTGTAAACCTTGAACAACAATATTTCATTGATCTCAAGTGTGAAATAATTGGATTAACATTTTGTGAAATAAATGAATATTTACTCATTGCCACTAATGCTGGTTTAAAAGGATGGGATAATTCTCAAAGGTACTGTATATTAATAATCTATTTAAAATATAAATTGATCATTCATGTAGTACCTAGTTGATCACTTATCACTTGTAGGACTGAGACTTAAAGCAACAAGTATAATATGCTTAGATGGTGCATTCAAACTGTTTACATAGGCAGGTGGTTGAAAACAATTTTTCAAGTAAAACAAATACTTATAGTCTATAGATAGATAATAATGTATTACATTTTATAAATCATTTAACAAAACACAACAAGTAGAAATTTCATCTATATAACTCAGTGGTTCCCAACCTCTTTAGCTCCACATAGATTTTCAAATCTTGTGCTCCTCCTCCAATAAATTGAAAAAATTACAATCTTTTTTTATATACCTAACTAATAAACTATTCAATATTCAAAATTACTACTTTTCTTATTGATGATAATAATTATAAATATAAATCATAATAATTAATAGAATAATATATAATATTCTTAATTGAGAGGTATCCAATAACCAGTCATTATTTATTTTTCATTTTTCTCTACATTGTAAAATGAAAATAATTTGACAAATAAAATTTTACTTTGTAATGACTACATATACCTCCTCAGCCATGTTTACACATCCCTATGTTGGGAAACACCGATATAACTAAATGCAAAGAAATGTAATGTAATAATTTATGAAGTAAATTTATTAAACTTTACTAACACTTTTTATCATAATTTAAAGAAATATTATCTTGTATCATATGTATTCAATAGTTATTTTTTCAAAATAATTATAATTTTAATTAATAAACTAACTATATTTATTGACTAACTTACTTTCATCAACATCTCAAATTTTACATATTTTTCTGTTAAGAAAAAATATTTTCATTACCGTTATAACATATCTTTTCTAAATATTTTAATTTTATGAGTATAGTCATTAATTTATGATTAATAACTGTTCACCTTTTCTTTATTATAATTGATATATAGCCAAGATCAAGAACTCCTTGATTTTGAACTACCCAAAAACCCTAATGAATTGTATAAGGATCAAAATGAAAATGTGATTGATTCAATTGAGATTGTTAAAGACAGTTGGATTGCCATTAAAGTTGCTCTGCACGGAGTTATATATATTTTTGATCTAAATACAACACTGTCCAAAACTAAAAATAACAAGTGCTTAGTATTACCATCTTTTGTACTAAAATGGAGTGATACAGACAACTATTTTATGAGCTGTTGTGTTGGTCTTGGTATGTATTTAGTATTACTAAAATTTAAACCCAAATGCTCTACCTAATGAATATTTTATTTATATGATACAGATGGAAAACTTTTAGCATGTGGAGATGATAAAGGAAGTATATGGCTTTACAACTTGGAAGACATATCCTTTAAATGTTCAAAAGGTGATCCTAAGATCATTACTGTCAGTTCAGTGTTGAAATGGCCCAAACTTAATGATAGTTATTTGAAAAAGAAAAAGAAGTTGGAAGTAGATGTTTATGACATAGTAATAGCAAAATGTGCCGTTCACTTTAGTGGAAATTATCTTGTAGCTGTAACTAATAACAATTTTGTTTGTTTGTATAAAAAATAAAATATGATTTAGTACTTATTATGTTTAATGTTATATTACTTCACAATGTATTAAGATAAATGAAAAATTATAAATAAATGTTGTAAATAAAATAATAAAAAAAAATTACACCCTTTTTCATTAATTTACAGACTTGTAAAATACCTAATGTTTATGGCTAACTTAACTATACAAGGATCTTGTGTTACAATGTTTCTTAAAAAAAAAAGATATCACAAAAAGTTAATAAAAATTTTAAAAAAAAATCACGACAGGATACATAATTACATTAGTATTTCAATTAGTACCAGTAGATCCAAAACCACCTTCACCTCGTTCAGTCTCATCCAATGTCTGAAATAATAAGATAAAAATGGTAATTAAACATATTATAGCTTAATTAAAATATATACAATATACCTCAAACTCTACTACTTCTGGATAGACTATCTTTTCACAAATAAGTTGAGCAACTCTATCGCCTTTATTAACTGTGAAGTCCTCATCAGAATGATTGTATAATATAACACCAACATTTCCTCTATAGTCACTGTCAATTACGCCCGCTATAACGACAGTAACAATGTAAAAATCAACTTAACTCTTAAATATTTCAAATTTTAATACATACCACCAACATCAATGAAATTTTTCCAAGCAAGACCAGAACGTGGGGCAACACGGCCATAAGTACCTTGTGGCACTTTAATCTGAATGTCGGTTTTAATAAGCTCTTTACCATGGGCTTTCACAACATATGGATAAGCACTATGAATAGGCAAACAAGAATATAATTAGCTATACATACAATAAACAAAACTACATCATTGGTGATTAAATTTTTGTAATTCACAATTATAATGATTAATGAATATTGTCTTCCCCAACAGTACTGTTATACCTACACTTACATTCTTGACACAACAATTTTCGTTTTCAATCAAAAATTTAAAATGATCCGACACAGAAGAATAATAATTAATAGTACATATAAATATCTTATGGTATAAATAGCTCATTAATAAAATGGCATGGTTCCAAACATTGGTTAACGAGTTAATTTGAGAGCTGTCGTCACCATAACATGGTAGGTACCTAATATTATAGTAGTTAAAACCGCCTGTGAAAGGAAAATTAACATGTGGTAGGTACTAATGACTAAAAAACGAATTGTTAAAATTTGAATGAGACTGGGAGAACTAATAACTAATAATTCAAACATTAAAATGGCTCTATTATGCCAGATTACATTACCTTCTCAGATCATAACCAGCCGCATGTTCACTACCTTTGGTCGGCGCGAAACCGTGTTCGGAGAGTTTGGAGAAAGCCAAAACGTCTTCGTTGGAGAATTTACGTACTTTTTTAATTGGGCTTGGCATGATAGCGATGGTGTATAGTACTCGATAAATGCGAAGAAAAATAAAATGAAATCTTAAAGGAATTTAAATGCGACGCTGTACGTGGGAAGACAGCAACGGCCAACGAGCGAATGACAAACTTGACAAAAGCAAAATGACAATACGAAGATTGCAGAGTGGGAAACGTAGACCGTAACGACTGACGAGCAAAGGCAAACATACGAAAACGTGTTTTTTTTTTTTTTTTATCGCGTCGTGAAGAATGGACGTTTTACCGCCAATTTGGAAAACGCGGGAAATCCAGCGTTTACAATCTATCAGTGTGACCGCAACAGATGGCCAAACCAAATATGTACTAACAATGATATTATATTATTATGTGGGTAATTGTTAATATTATGTTATAGTACTATAATGGCAGTCGGCAGATTTTTATTTTTTAGGAACTATTGGTCAGCTCGGGAACGTAAATACGCCGATGATAAATTGCATTACAACGCGTCTTACAAACATTCTAAAAATAACCAAATTATTGGAAATTAATAGAATAAATTGTTGATGTTATAGGACATGGCGATAACAACCGATAGGCGATAACGTACCTACTGTATGAAAATATTGAAAATCAAAAATCAAAATCATGTTTTCGGTTACGTATTTGTATACTTTATTGGAGTTATATTCAATATTGCTTATTTCCTTTATTATATAAAACTATGCCAATGAATAGCACTTTAAACTCAAAATTAGCAAAATAGCACTAGAAACCGTATATATGCTTTAAATTAGTAGAATTAAATTTCTCATACGATATCAGGAAGGTGTAAAACAAAATTATATTTTTCGAATTACCAAAAAAAAAATAATAATAAGAACTTCCAAGCCTTGTTGATAAATTAAAATACAATCGAAGAATGTCATATTGAAATAACGGTAAGATGACAAATATCAAATAATTGGGAAGACCTTGACGATTTTCTTATTCAAATTATATTTACCCTCACTTGATTGCAGTCTCTTAGATAGATTTACATTTTTATTAATTTAATTATTTTAATAATAACATCAATCGTTTTTACAATATAGTTTAAATTAAATCAAAATACCTATACACAAATATAAATAAATTTCTTTATTTTCAATTAACATCATCGAGTTCTGATAATAATTATTATTATTCTTATGTAAAATATACTACTGTTTTATGGTAAAATATCTTGTATTAAATCGTAAATATGGTATCATTTCATGATTATTTTTTTTTTATTTAATAATATATAAGGCTCGCTCTTTCTATCGAGTTGTTAATTGATCCAGTCAGATCGTTCACGGTCTTCCGAGTTCCGGGTATCATTGTAGACTGTAGAGTTACTTGTCAGTTGTTACGTTTGAACTAGGGAATTTTCAAAGCTATTTTTAAACATTTGTTATATATAATAATTTACAGTTCATTAAATAATTTACTTTTTAAATTCAATGTTTTTATAATATTATAAATTATTATTTATCAAACATAATAGTATAATACTATTTTAGTTTTTAGATTTTAATTTTGATGTAGAACAACGTTACTATTTATGTACTTAATTTTAAATAACAAGGTGAATTTAGAAATCCACCTTGCTTTGTACAAGGTTTTTCCTCAGCGAATTATATTAACGCGTTATATCATACTCGATATCATCAGGACAATGATCTAAGATAATAATTCATAATACAAACATATGTAACTAAGTTAAAATAATTTATTTTATTATTCTATTATCTAATTATGTAATTTATTAACAACAAAAAAAAACATTGTTTCAACAAAGATTTTGTTGAAACAATTAAAATTTTATAAATAATAAAAAAAAACGTGTTTATGGTTAATGCGTAATATAATAAAATAAATTTATTTATTAGTATATTAGGTACATAATATATACTATTACAATTGATTAATCAATAATACATTAATACGTATACAAATATTGTGTTAGTAATTTTTAAGAATATTCTGACTAATCTATATTTCCGTATTAGAGTAATGATTGAAACTTCTTAAAGTTTGCAATTTGTATGCGGTAATTTGTTTTTTTTTTTTTTTATTTGTTTTACAACTGCAATAAATTTCTAGTCAAATATAGTAGAGTAAGTTTATTTTTATTTCATCGAATACTTTACTCTTAATCTTAAAGTACATTTTAAACCTTTCATAGTTACTGATGTATTATATAATTATAATTTATTTAGAATAATTAAATTTTAAGTGTCCCAACCATCCCAGAGCGAAAAAATGCCTAATATTTTATACAAGACCAACACATTAAGGTAAAAGTGGTTTTTATTTTTTAATGTTTCTATTAAATATTATATAGTATGTAAGTATGATAGTTATTAGTTAAAATTAGTTGTAAACATTATACAATGTTTTATTTAATAATATAAATAATAAACAAAAATCATTATTTTGTTAACAATTTAACATTTTTTTTTCTATCCTAGATTTAATTGTAGCGAAGTGCTTACTATATTTACTATTATAATTAATTAAATATTACGTATCACGTATGAGTGTATGACTGGAATTGGTATAAGTTTATCTCTTATTGAGTAATAATTTAAACATATTTTTCGTTTAATTATTGACTTACTGTCAGTTGTTTCTAAGATTGGGGGCAACTATAACTACAGGGCGCAACACGATTGCGAATGTTTTACCCTTTTTATAATACGATTGCAAACAAATGTTGTTTATCGAAAACTATGTTTTTCAGCCGAAAAATGAACGATTACAAACATTTTTATAGATTACGTTGCCGATTTTATAATTTCTAAGTATGTTTTATTTTGTTTGGGAATTTAATTAAAAATTTTTTTTAAATAAAATGTATTCAATATTAACAATACAATGTTACATTATAACTATGTTACAAACTAAAATAAAATTATACATGATAATATGAAGTGTTCAAAATGTTGATAAATTAAAATAATTTCAAAGTATAAATATTAATAATATTGTTACACAATGTATAAACTGAAAAAAATAATAGTTTTTAAAATGTTTTTCTACATTTTTTCTTTTTTTTAAATGTTTTCTTAGGTAGAAATTTCCAGTTTTTTATAAAATTAGATACTTGTGTATTTTGTAAATTATAATCATTAGAATTATTTAATGTTGATTCAATTTTAGATGTATCTTTTTGGCCATAGGATTATGTAAACTGTTTTAATAGCGTAATAACAGAAAACTCTTATACCTACTATTTAATTATTTTAAAAATTATTATTTAAAATTTGTAATTGACTAACACCATATCTGGCAACCTGATTAAATGCAGTAAAAACGTTCGCAATTTGTATTACGGGATAATGTCCGTTCATAATCGTATATCACCCATAACTAGAGCCATGAAGATTATCCCATAATATCATAATACAAAACAATAAATTTTATATTTTTTTAATATTAAATAACTAACAATTTAAAAAAGCCAAAACTCAATAGTCAAAGGTTGCACATAAATTGTAATATTCGATACTTGTTACTTTTAATAATATTATATAACTTAACACGTAAACTGGAAAATATCAATAAATGTTAGTTAAATATACTATGTTTAATAGTCAAGAAGCTAGTCGAGATAAGTGACTATATAGATACTTAGTTATTTATTTAATTACTTCAAAGCATCTGACGATAAAGCTATTTAACAATAACAAATTATTTTTAGCCATAAATGTATTTAATATTATATGGAACTACCTCGTATCAGTGTACTCAATTCGCTTACGTGACTACAGATTGCCTATGCATATACCGTTTCAACAAAACGTGATGAAATATTTAAAAGTAAATCATATTATTTTGTTGGAAAAGTATTCAATATAAATATTAAGTATTTAAAAATTTAAAAAAGAAAATTTTAAAAGTATTCGATATGAATAAAAATATTTAAATGTTTTTACTCAAACATTGTTATCAACTTGAGATATAAAGAACAAAATAATTTATTGCATATTAATCTAAATTTTGCAAATAATAAGTTGCATCCATAAGTAAATTATATAGTTGTGTAACTGTAGGTTAATTTACATAATAGGCACATGATATTATAGTGTACCTATTTTCGTTTTTAACCTGCAATAATTAAAAATAAAAACAAGAAAGTTTTGAAAGTTACTATGATAAACTAATGTACTCGTACATCAATACATCTGTAAAATAATATAATTTACGCTGATATGAAGGTAAATTATACGAGTTTTTTAGTATAGTAATTAGTAGGTAATAATAATATATTATATTATTTTTAGACGTACCTATCGTGTTTTTTAAGCGTTGCAGTAGCAATATGTGCGGGTCATTCACAAAACGATGAAACGATTGTGCATTTGGATGTAACAATATCAAAACGGCGAATAAAAAGAAGTATTATTATATTTCGAGTTGCAAGGTCATCGCGTATAATACATATTGTTATACTTAGGACGTGTGTATAAAATGATATTGGCGCTTGCAATGCCGCGTACATTGTCATCGGAGACGGAGATAGGTGCTACATTTATACATAAATATATAATATTATAAAAATAATAAACATGTATATTATGTTATGTTATTATATTTTGTCGCGCGCATGGGTGTGTGAGTGTGTTTTGTATGCTTGCCGACGTGAAAAATATTTACAAAGAAGGTATATATGTATACATTGGTACACCACATTCACATACTACATACATAATATATTATAATATTTTATGGAGATAGAAACCGATGACAACAACGCTATATATATATATATAAATATGAGTACTCACATATATACTAAATGTACATAGGTAAATGCGCATGAAAGAAATTCATTCATCGAACACCTATTTAATATTATATACAGCCATAAAGGGTGATTTACTAAGTATGCCCACTCTTTTTTCTTTAATAGTGCGTACTAATTCAAATTCTAATTTTTAAAAATTTTAAATACTCTCGACGGCTATATTTTTAAATACTTAGTTTCTGCATTTTCAAAATGTTTAAATAATAGATAGTTGTTAAAAATTTTTTTTTTTTCAAAAAAATAAGGTTAATAGTATATTTAATCTAGTACCTACCTACCTATTTTATATACTAGGATAATTTTTACAGATTGTAAAATTTTAATATATTTTGTATAAATTACTACAACTATTTTCACATTAGGTATTCAAATCCTCATATTTTTAAACAGTTTAACACATAATTGTGTAA